AAGAAGAAGAAGAAGAAGAAGAAGAAGAAGAAGAAGAAGAAGAAGAAGAAGAAAAGGAAGCTGCTTCTCTACCACTCATGAATGTGCACAGCTTGTGGTGAGGTAGGGTGAGGTGAGGTGAGGTGATGTGAGATGAGGTGAGCTGAGTTGAGCTGATTTGAGCTGAAGTGAATTGAGATGTAGGAAAGTGAGATGAGATAAGATGATATAAGATGAGGGTGAAGAGAGGTGATCTGAGAGGGGGTATTTGGGAAGGTCAGATTTTGAAGTGAGTTGGAGGCGAAATAAGATATGGCATCAATAGGAAATCTACAAACTTGACCCTAATGTCGATTTTTGGCCAATACCTCCTTTTGTGGATTGCGAAAAGTCGCTCCATTTGTCAGCACGCCTCACAATATTATGAAACAATGTGGTGAGATTTCACGAGGAAAGGCGGGACGAGAAGGTGTAAGATGAAATAAGACGATGAGACACGGTTGAATGGAATTAGGTCAGATGGTTTTCTTGTGGGGGGGGGGTGCATTTTCGGTACGTGTTTTACGGCGCTCGCAACTGCATAAGGTCATATGAGCGCGTGGGAAACATTAAACATTTTCATTTGATGGGAAATTTTGAATTTTACCCGGGTGGTGGTCGAAGCATACTCTTATCGATTTTGGACCACAAAGGGATCTTTAACGTGTTTGTAGATCTTTCCTACCAGAAGATCAGGGGTGAGGCTGAAAGACAGCAGTAAGAAGGAGCCAAGGAGAACCAGTAGAAAGGCTGCAGAAAGAGTCAGGGGCCCAGAGAAGGGGGCAAAGGAGGTGAGGGGGTGGGCGTGGGAGCAGAGAGTGGAGACGAAAGCAGACGACTGAACATTGCTAGAGAACAGAAAAGGAGGTGAAAGGAGACAATTTAAAGAAGAAAAATTTCCGTCGCTATCCGTGCTCGAACCCGGGACCTATTGAATGAGAGGCGAAAACCTTAAAACCTCTTGGCCACGAGAGCCCCCGAGGTGTGGTGGAGCACATGCGGATAACTTGAGAACGACAGATGTACGCCATTGGCCGATATTTAAAGTAACAGCCATCTTGTTTGACGTCAATTAAGGATCCCCACTTTGTTGTCGTTCACGGTGGCAACACGACCGCAAAGCACTATTGAAGTATTTTTTTAAGCCTGTAGCCTACTTTTTTTTAAAAACTTAGTCCTTTACTTCCCCAATTCGAAGTCAGGTATCCATTACAGGTGGTTGGGCAGGAGGGGGCGAAAACAAAAAATCCCTGGCCGAACCAAGGCTCGAACCTGGACTTTCTGCTTTGAGCTTTGGACACAAACGCACTAACTACTCCGCCACCACGCCACTGAAGGCTACAGGCGTTAAAAATATTGCAATAGTGCTTTGCGGTCGTGTTGCCACCGTGAACGACAACAAAGTGGGAATCCCTCAATGACGTCAAACAATATGGCTGCTACTATAAATATCGGCCAATGGCGTACATCTGTCGTTCTCAAGTTATCCGCATATGTGGTGGAGCTATATAAGGTGAAATGTTGTAGTAAGACGAGAAGAGGTGAGTGAATTGGAGGGAGTTTTTGAATGATGTGGGGTGAGGTGAGGTGAATGTAGATGAGCAGCGGGGTTCGATGAGAAAGAATGAGAGGAGATTAAGTGAGATAAAGTAAGGTGAAGAGAGGTGATTTTGGGCAAACATTATGTATCTTGGATAAGGTAAAGTGTGCTCCGGCAAGGTGGGGCTGAGACACGCTGAGATTAGATGAAGTAAGGTCAAGTGAGCAGATGAAGATGTAAGTAAGATGGCATGGGGTGAGGTCGTGCGAGATGGAGTGAAATGGGATAAGTTGAGAAGAGACGAGGGAGAAAATTACATGACACGAGATTAGATGAATTGAGGGCTGGTGGGGCACCTAGAAATCGTGTTTGGGGGTCAAATTTTGTAAATTGGGTTTATTACATATTATAGTACCTGGACACTTCCTGAACAATATCCAGAAACGTATGTAAGCCTTGCTACACCCTAAAGCTGTGTTTTTTTGTCAGGTTTTTCGGCGAAAGCACATGTTGTCTAGCCTTTTCTTACCTGTATCGGCTGTTTTCTCACAATTCTATATTTTCACATATTATCCCATTTTTCTGCTCTGTTTCTTATTCAATGTTAATGTATCTTTCACAGGATACCAACAACACCTAGTTCTAAATTTTGTCTGGTTGAATTTTTGATTAATGTAGTAGTTTTTTATTTATAGGCTTACAAAGCATGAATTTTCCATTTTTTCACTTTTTTTTCCAAAATCTCAATTGTAAATGCTATAAAATAAAAACTAAAGCATATATCACATATTCAACAAGCCAAATTTAAGAGTTACATATGTACTTTTGGCATGCCAAATTAGAAGTGAATCGGTTATTTAATAAGGGAATAAAATGGGATTGAAAAAGGTATACAAAATCCAATATGGTCGCCGTTTCCATATCAACCGATTCACAATATACTTTTTGAACTATTGATTTAAAATCCCCAATAACACACGATGTCCCACAGCAAATATCGGCACTCTAGGCCTTGTAATAGCCAAAATAGACCTCAGGTGCCCCACCAATCCTTAAGGTGAGACTGGGTGAGCTGAGATAAGATCAGATTTGGTGAATCGAGATGAGGTGAGATGATTTAGCTTTACATGTAACAGCTTTGGTGGGATGAGATGAGGTGTGATCAAATTAGATGAGATGTAATGAGATGACATGCCATGTGACCAGATGACATGAGATTAGATATGATTTGATGAGACATGATCAGGTGAGATGATATGTGATCAGATGAAATGAGATGAGGTGTAATGAGATGATAATCGATGTGATCAGATGAGATTAGATATAATTAGATGAGATAATATTATAATCAAATGTGATGAGACGTGATAAGGTGTCAAATAATTATATGAAATGAGATTGAGCGAGGTGAAATGAGGTGAGACTGGTGAAATGAGGTGAGACTGGTGAAGACGAGATTGGATGAGGAGAAACGAGAAGAGATTTGTCGAAGCCGGCCACGAAATTTTAAGTATATCGGGTAGGCTTAGTCAGTGGTTTAGCCAAAGATAGTACATAACAAGATGGTCCACTCAGCCAAAAAAGTGTCCACCGGAAGTTCGCTCTTTGCTTCAGATGGCGCTGAAGAATAGGAATAGTACCTCCTTGCGTGCGCAGATCGACTGCTGTTCATCAGCAGTTCGGGTTTGTTCAGTGCGGAGTTTTAGGGATTTGTTTTTTTTAATGACCTCTCGCCTTTCATTTTAAAGTCAAATTAAACGAAGAAAACAGTCCCCTTTTCCTCCGGAAGAGGTTTTTTGTCAGCGTAACCATTTTAAAAAAGCGTTCTTCCGAAATTTATTTAAAAACTTGCTAGTTTCACTTTAATTTTTTAAAACTCAAGTAGGGTAACTCTGTTCGCAAAGGGTGCGCATTTGTGAAGATGGCGCCTCCGAATGTTGAGGAAACTTTTTTAATTGGCTCAAAGAAAGAAGGGGCCCCTCTTGTTATGTAAACTCTTTGGTATAGCCTAGTATAGTCATACAGACCTGAGCTGCATCTCTTCTTCAAGCCGTAGACACTTCCACTCCCGTCCTCCGTGCTGGGTGTTGACGTCATCAGCTTGCACTCGGTGGGGTTGAAGATGTAGACATAGGCCACACATTCCACGAAAGACTTGCAGGCTTCCTCGCAGTCCGTTTGGCTCGAGCCGGAGAGGCTCAACGGGAAGGAGGGGTTGATCCCGTCCAGGTTATTCGTGCTGGACACCGAGCATGCGCTAGGGGTGGCTTGTGCGAAGTGAAACAAACAAACAAACTGAAGGCGTTATGCCTCTTATACAGGGTGCCCACTAATAGTGTTGATAGGGGGGTCAAACCTATACCATTTCGCCATTTTCACAGGGTGCCCATTGGGGGGGGGGGGGCGAGACCGAGTCTGGTCGGGGCGGTTTGCTAGCCAGATTAAGGGCACGAAGCGGCTATCGTGGCATAATAAGCCGATCGTGACCGACTAGTCGACTCAGAAACAAACGCATTTGTTTTCAGACGACGAGTCGTGCGATCGCCTCCGACCCGACCCGACCGGACCCGATCCCATCCCCAATGAGCACCCCGTATAACTGTACTATCATAACCTTTTTGACAGGCCTTAGTTTCTTTCTTTAAAAAAAAAGAGAGTGGGGGGAGAGGGCAGTGAATTCTATCGCATATTTTAGGCTACTTCTCTGTTTTCTTCAGACTTAAGAGATGTTTTTGAACTACGTGTTGATAAGTTACCGTACGCTCTAATAAACTAATACTAATAGTTTCTTGTTGTTGTTGTATTTGTTTTTGTGGTTGTTGTTATTGTTGTTTTTGTTTTAGTAAGAGATTTACAGCACTTGCAACATAATAAGGTCATATAAGTGCAGAATATTAGAGGTGTTACAGGAGAGTAACAGATACAAAAAGAAGGAGAAGGGGGGGGGGGGGGGA